TGTTTATTTGTTTGTAACTTTTGAAAAAATAATATTTTTTTTCCAAATTTACTTATTTTTATTAATATATACCTAATTCAGAAATGTGCATTTAAATTTTCATGTTAAGGGCAGTAGAAAAAATGTTTTGCTAAACTAAACTCAAAAAAGTTTAATTTTAAGGGGTGTACCTATTATTTTCATCATGAGTGTATGTGTGCACACGCATACGATGCTGTTGTAGCTGCTGCACGTGCGTTTGTTAATTGGCCAAATATTTGAATATTTTTTATTAATTTTTGACTGAACGGAATTTAATGAAACTTTCAGCATATGATCTACATATTATATTGAATATTTTAGAAATTTAAAAAAATTAAAAATCATTCGCAATTAGCTATAGTGGCATCTGACTTGAACTTGAATGTTTTTACTCGATAAAAACATAACGGGATGATTTATCGAATTTTAAAAGCAAACTCGACGTCCGCGCTGCATTAAAAAAAAATTGAAGTCCTAGCTCTTATATCTTCGGAAATCGACGCGTTCAAACATACGGACAGACAGACAGACGGACAAGGCCAAATCGACTCAGCTCGTCGCCCTGATCAAGAATATATATACTTTGTGGGGTCTACCACGCCTCCTTCTGCCTGTTACATACATTTCAACAAAACCATTATACCCTGATTTCCCATTGAAAATGGGTTCAGGGTATAAAAAAAGACACCAAACGATATGCTGAGAAAAGAAATACGCATTAATTTTGCCCGGGCGAACATGACGTGGTCTACCCAATGGCAGCATGTTATCTTTTCTGATGAGAAAAATTGAATTTGGAATGAACTGATGGGTATAATTATTATTTCCATGACCTACTCATAGAAGAACATTATTTGGTACGGTTACCATGCCTCTGCGGCGGGGGGGTGGTGAGGCATTTGTGTAGGTAGCAATATCTTATTACAGCACTTGCAAGCTTCAATTTTTGACATCGCGCATAAACGCATAGGATTATAACACCATGTCTAAAACCGCTGTTCCGCATTTCTATAACCTGTCTCAAAGCCGGCATTAAATTTTCAGGATGGTAATGCTCTAATTCAGACCGTCCGTTCCGTGAAGTCCTGGATTCAGGGCTAAAAAATTGATCTAATGGAGTGGCCACCATACTCACTCGACCTTAATATCATTGAAAACGTCTGGGCATGGTTGGTCTGGAAAGTATATGAGTCCGGACAGCATTATAGTACAAAGACAGAGTTAATCGAAGGTATTGAATGTACAAGTTTATAATTCCATTTCTTATCGAATTTTTGAAGTAAATTCAAACAAAAGACGGCACTACGCAGTAGTAGTGCCAACGGCACTACGCACTACTAATATTACTTAAAAATAATTATCACTTAAAATACAGGTGTTATTTTTGGTCATTAACTTAAATAAATTGAATTTAACGCAGGGGGCGCTAATCTGATGATCAAATTTTTGTTACATTTTTTTTTTCCATTTTACCAAAAAAAAATTATTAAAAATTATTTCCTATTGTTTTATACTCATTCACGAGAGTGAATCAGTATATTGGTTTTGTGCAATGTCCGTCTTGCTGTCCGTCCGTCTGTCCGTATGAACGCAATCTATTTCGGCGCTATTGAAGCTAGAGACTTGAAATTTGGAACACATACTCGTGTATATCTCCGATTTATAAAGTGTTACAACTTTCCCGATCCGCCCACTAGGGGCGTGGCAAATCAGAAAATGCATTTTCCGATATACCAGAAATCATATTAGTTGAAGAAATTTGGTATGTAGGTCCGCGTCAACCACCCAAGATCACGAGCTATGGCGGATATATCTCCGCCCATTGGGGGCCTGGCAAATCGGCTAAATCTGTATCTCCCAAAGTCGTAAGCCTTGAATGTTGAAATTTTGCACGTCAGCTAATGTTATGATTCTATAAAGTCAAAAGACAATTTATAAGTCTACGCCCATTAGTGATTTTTTAAATTCTGCTCTTTTTTGGACATAATTGATGCCAGAGACCTAAAATTTGGTATATATACTCGGGCTGATCACCCAAGACCAAAAAGTTTTGTCGGATATATGTCCGCCCACAGGGAGCGTGGCAAACCGCAAAAGTTTATATCTCCTAAAGTATAATAGCTAGAAGCTTCAAATTTAGAGAGTTAAGTTACCAGTAACCTCCTCTATCGATGACCTAAAAATAATTTTTACGCCCCTTTAGGAGCGTGGCATATCGAAAAATACCCTGTAATTTTCACATTTTTTGAGAGTAAGCATTCAATCTTTGCAGTTAGTGTACCGTTATCACGTTCTAAGCACTGACCAAAAATGAGGTGTCTGCGCCCAATGGGGGCGTAGCAAATCGGTATTCTACAGTATTAGAGCGAAACTTTACTATATTTTTGATGGGATGTGAATGAGTATTCCGCAGTCGGTAACGCCCGACTGCAACGTTCTTACTTTTTTTTTATTATTTTTTTTATTTTAAAGAGAAATAGATGTTGTACAATACAAAACAAGTAAGAAGGCTCCAGTCGAGACTGCTCGACTAGGAGATACCCTGAACCCTCCAAGCTGATATTCTAATCATTCTGCACTTCTTTTACATACATACACATGCACTTATAAGCACGCGCTCTGCTAACTGCGCAGTAAGCAGCGACTACGCTTGGGCTGCGCTGCAATGTGCAATATTATGACAATTTATTTGTTGAATAATTTCTTTTGTAGACATACAATCTTAATGAAACTTTTAAAGCGTAATCATATGACTAAAATGTGTGTACATTCCAAAGCACAAGTCTCTAGTACTTGAAATGCGTTTTTTACAAATTGGGGGCGAAGGGGGCGATATCGGTATCGATTAACTTTATATACAACGCAAATTTGAAGACTCCAGGTTTAAAAGTGTTCAAACTAGGCTGAAAAACCCAAGTCGATTTTTCGATTATTCTCGATAAAAAAGTTATCGGATGAGTTATCGGAAAAATAATGCAAACTCGTACTGCCTATGGTATACACGAGTATGCATGCCAAATTTCAGCTCTCTAGCTCTTATATCTTCTGAGATCCTTTTGCTCATACGGACGGACAGACGGACAGGGCTATATCGACTCAGCTCGTCGTCCTGATCAAGAATATATATACTTTATGGGGTCTGCGATGATTCCTTCTGCCTGTTACATACTTTTCACAAAACCATTATACCCTGATTTCCCATTTTCAATGGGTTCAGGGTATAAAAAAAGATGAAGCTCTGATGGTTTAGCTTTTATATAGCTTTGAGGTTGAGTGTAAAGGGGGGCGCTAACCTGATGACGCGCAGTGTATATATACGAGCCCTAACCACTAATAATTAGAACAGCATGTTTTTTTGCAGGGTGCAATGTTTAACACACTATATTATTAATTCTACTAAAGATAACACATACCAATGCAGTTCGTCTTAAAGAGAATTTTATTCTCTTCACGATGAAAATTTTTGCTGTATTTCCAAAAACATTTGGATCTTGCCTTTTATTGATGGTGGCTAGGGCCACCAAATATTTTCAATTAGGCTTAGTCTGGGCTATTTGATGGTCAATCTAAAACCCCTATTTAATTCCAGCCAAATTTCCAGTTCTGGTATTGATGGCCGAAAACTATCTTTTAAAATATTAATGTATTTTTCAGCATTAACCGTCCCTTTAATAAAATGCAGTTTTCCTAGTCCTTTGGCAGACATACATCCCCATACCATAGTGCTCGCAAGAAACTTTACGTTTTTAAGGCAGTATTTATGGTTTGTTTCTGCACTCATACGGATGACACGTTTCTCGTATCGCCAACACTAACATAAAATTTAGCTTCATCGCTAAATATGATGGTATCCCATTGACTATGGGTCCAAGACATCCTTCCCGACCCCATTGCAAACATTGCGTTTTTGATGAAGTGTGAGCAAAGGTGTTTCCTTGGCCTACGAGTAAGATAAGTTATTGGGTACGATGCATAGGTAATAACAAAACATACTTTATAAAAACCATATCCAATATTTTTTAACTACAATCGCGTCCATTCTCGCTTAACAGTTTTTCCAATTGTCTGCTACCACTCAGAAGCCAAATTTCTTAAAGATTGGCGACAATCAGCCTTAAGAATTTTGGCCAGTTGTCTTTTGTCGCGGGGTGTTATTGCTGATATTCGACCTCTATTCGTAATAATATTTTCTATATTCACATATTTTTTAAATTTTGATCACCCCATGCACAGACGATCTGGACACATTTAATTGCTTGCTGATCTTCGTAAATGTCTTCCCAGATTTCAAAATTCTAATCAATCCTCTGATTTCGTTGCAAATATGATTACCGCTTACCATCGTTGCTAAACTTTCACTGATAGGCACCAATTTTAAAATTTTTGCATTCTGTATTGCTATATTATTCGCAGAGTGTAACTACAAAGTGATTATGTTACATTGGTTGCTTTTGTTTTGCTTTTCCCTTGAGATAAATGTATGTTTACGCAGCGTTGGAATTGATAGTGGTCAATTTTTTATCTTAAGTCAACGGTTTGAATAATTTATAAATTAAATTTTTGGAAATACATTTTTTTTCATCGTGAAGAGAATAAAATTCTCTTTAAGGTGAAATGCATTGGATTGTGTTATTCTAAGTAGTATTGATAATATAGTGTGTTAAACATTGCGCACCACATATACATAGTGACGAACTAAATTATTTGCACAGCAAGCTTTTTGAGCTTTAAAATCATATCGAAATTTAAAAAAATGTACGGTGAAGTTGTTCGGAATATAATTTTTGTATAATTTAAAAAATTCCCTATTCTATTTGTTTAATTTTTGTTTTATTAAAAACCTTGCGGTGCCAATAATTTAGTTCGTCACTGTACATATGTACATTTATATGTACATATGTAAATATGTATTGGTATGTTTTCATGTTTGCATGATGGCATGGCTAAATGCATAAATAATGATATTCGGAAATTCTTACACTGACACTAAAATATGTAACACAACCAGATTCATTCAAGCCTATGCAATTATAATAATCAAAACCGTTTTCAATTGTAAAATTTTCACTTTTTAATAAACAACTGCACCCAGCTGCGCATTGTAAAAAAAACTATTTAGTTTAATACTTTTTATTGGTGCTACAAAAATATCGGATCGGTATCGTTAATAGTGCTGCAAATCCATCGATGGAAATATCGATAGTATCGATGGACTTTCTTTTGTTAGATAGGTCGATGGAATTTTCTCGATGTCGATAGATCGCTGCAGACGCCAAGCCACAAGTAAGTTCATACGTTGATACTCAAATTATTATTAAAATTAGAATCTATTTTACACAAACAATTTGATTTATTTTTTAACATATAGCACATAGATACCTATTTACCACATTATTTAATTGTTCGCGGTTCCTCCACGGAAAATGGAACATTTTTTGATCCCATCTGGTAAGATTCATACAATTAATAGCAAACACGTTTTTTCTAATTGTTTTGGATTTTAGATAAAAGTGCTTCTTCGCCTGCAGACGCCAATAAGGAATCTTCATTTGCTGTTACGGTACACACTGAAAATATTGCGCCTCCGAATAAGCGAAAGAAATTTGAGAAATCTCAAGTATGGAAGTTTTTTGAAAAATGCCAAGAAAAAACTTTGTGAAATGCCTGTTGTGTGGGCAGCAATATAAAACGAGCGGGAACACATCAAATATGCAAGAGCATTTAAAGCGTGCACATAATGGATCTCACGATAATTAATTTCAGCTTTAAGCTCAAGACTTTTGTGAAAGATAGTCAAGTTTTGTTTTTTAATTTTAAGTTAAATTTTAAAACTTGTTAATTACAGTCGAAATTTTTGGTTTTTAGTTATAAGATAAATATGAACCAAAGTTGATTTTTAGGATAGACTGTTTTGTGATGAACTGGAATACAAATATTATTTTTATGAATTAAGACGAAAAATTATGAATTGTTTTGAACTTACTGAGTATAAATGTTTAAAAAGTTAATTTTTTTTCTATGAATTTTCAATAATTTTTGAATGATGGAGCTATTTTCGAACACATAGAATCAGTGTTGCCAAATCAGCTTTTTTCCGTCAAATCTGGCTTTTTTGAAAATCCAATTGCGGGAAAAATCCCAAACCGCGGGCAGTGGGAATTCTGGATTTTTAAAAAACTAATATGGGTTTCTTTTGCTTTTTTCTTTACTGATCAATTTATCATCATTTGTAGCGATTAATCGTATATAAAAGTGTTTGTCATTGTAGTTGAATTTAAGCACTGACCAACACATAGACTAGACATGTAGAGCAACGTTTTTCCACGCCGCAACATCTGTCTAGCAAGTCCCGGCCAACTTCGTATTCGCTCGGCTTGGTATTGGATGGCTCGGGTAATGAAAGATAGCACGACGAAATCAGTGCGCTCTAAGCACGCAAACGAAATGGTCATGTCGTGGGCTCTCAAATCATGAAGCTCAGCAGCGCACAAAAAATGAAATTTCTTCGTGACGGTCCCAGCTCTTTCCTTTTGAGTGAAGAGTATACCGAAATTTTAAAATCGTTTGCGACATTCATGCAAACAAAATGTTAGCGTTTCGATATATATTTATGGGAAGGGTATGAATGTGTTGAGGCGCATAAAGAATATGATCTCGCGACGGGCATGCACACACACACTTGTAGTCTCTTGCTACATGTATGAGCATTTGTGACCTGCGTGCATTACTCTTGCTGCTTGTAGCAATTTTAAAGCCCAGCATTTGCATTTGGTCGGTCTTACGGACTGTCATAACCACTTTACACAGATGTACTATGTATGAACATACATATGTACATAAGTACATTTATATATTATTATTGCCAATCATGTTAATAAATGTGTTTATATCCGTTAATAAATATATATAATTAAAATTATTTTACACACATTTTCAATCGAAAAAATTATCGTAAAACACTACTAACTTTATTAAATGCTTTGCAATATATGAAATACACATGTCATATTATACTGAAGCTTTACTCATTATTGTCAAAAATTTCTAATTAAGTCATAATGGCCCATTTGATAGTCACCCTACGATTCAAATCATACAAAATTCACAAACTACTACATCCAGAGACAATTAGCTTGCCATCCCATTTTGTTCGCGATGATCCCAACTCTTTCCCATGGAAGTGAAGAGTATACCTAAATCATAAAAGCGTTTGTCACGCTCATGCAAACAAAATATAAGCGTTTGTATGGTTATGAAAGGAAGGGTATGAAAGCGCATCAAACCAATATGATTTCGCGACGAGCATGCACACACACACATACACTTGCAGTCTCTGGAAACATGTGTGAGAATTAGTGGACTGTGTGCGTAACTCTTGCTGCTTGTAGTAATTTTAAAGCCCAGCATTTGCATTTAGTCGATTTTGTGAAGTGCTCACAAACATACATACATGTATATACATACAGTGTCGAACTAAATTATTGGCACAGCAAGCTTTTTAAACTTTAAAGTAATCTTTTAATCGTTTTTTAACGTTTTTTTAGTGAAACAAAAAATGTTCTAAGTAGAATTGGGTATTTATGAAATTATACGTAAAAATATTGCGAAAAACTTCAACGTTCTTTTTTTTTTTAAATTCAATAACCAAAAATAAACCTCGATTTAGCTGATCAAAATTATTGGCACAGCAAAAAAAAAAAAAAAAAAAATTTAAAACAAAAATGTTATAAAAAAATTGATAATAACTATAAATAACATTGGGTATGTATCCTTAAAACTTTAATAATGGCTGATAATAGGTTTGGCATCGAAAAAAATTATTTTTGAGTGAAGTCTTCACTAATTTTTTGCCATTCTTTAATGAGAGTTTGTTTTAGGTCGGCTTGTTTTGTTATTATCCGTTTTGAGATGCGCCTATCCAATTCTTTCCAAATGCGTTCAATTCTATTTAGGTCTGAAGATAGTGGTGGGTGCGGTAACACATGGGTGGTATTATACGCCAGCCATATTTTGACGATATGGGCAGAATCCTTGGAACAGAAATGTGAAAGAGCTTAGTAGTTGTAGCTTTTCAGAATTTTTTTTAAAGGTTATCACTCAAAATATTTAGATACAAATGTTAGTCCATTATTCCGTCTACAAACACCGATTCGGGCATGGTTCGAGCTCCGGGATGAGCTTGTGCGTCTACCGTCCTTTAGCTGAGCTATTCCACTTCCTTTGCCATCGTGCAATGCTGTTCGCCCTGATAGGGGTGTGTCGCACAGGCGCGTCCGAATTCCGCTCCACTGCTTCGGCGACCAGGTACTCCAGTGGCACCATTCCGGCTATGACAAGCGCCGCATCATCGGAGATAGTCCTGAAAGCGCAGCTGACTCTGATTGCGCTCAGTCTGTAGATCGCGCAAATGCCCCGGCTGTAGCTCGGCGTTGCCATCGCTCTTGACCATATTGGCGCAGCATAGAGGATGACAGACCTAATGACGCTCATTAGAAGAAGACGTCGTTGCTGTTTAGGTCCCCGCGTGTTAAGCATAATTCTTGAGAGAGCTCTACAAGAATCAGCTGCCTTTTTATGCACATATTCTAAGTGCTCGAGGAAAGTTAATCTTGTGTCTAACATGACGCCAAGATACTTAATCGCCCTCTTTGACGCGATGCTGACGCTGCCTATCCTTATATTGGCAATCTCCACTTTTTTGCGACTGCTTACTAGGACGACTTCCGTCTTGTGCGCCGCAAGCGATTGATACTTTCGCTGCACATATGCTCTGTATCTTTAAGCTTCTTGCCAATGGCGACGACAGCCACATCATCAGCAAAGCCAATGGTGTGTGCACCTGCTGGTACTTCCAAGCGCACTACGCCGTCGTACATGATATTCCATAGGAGAGGCCCAGCACTGAGCCTTGGGGTACTCCAGCTGACACTGTATGAGTTTGGGGATCTTCACTCGTGTTGTATACCAGTGTTCTTCCTCTGTAGTAGCTCTTTATTATCTCTTTTAGATATTTAGGGATATTATATTGTGACAGCGCATTCAGTATCATATCCCAACTAGCTGTGTTGAAGGCGTTCTTAACGTCCAGGGTCGCGATGATGCAGTATTGCTTCGTCCCGTGCCCCCATCTGGTGCCTTGGATGGCGGAAGTTGCCAGGCCAACAACTTTTTCTAGAGCATCTGTTGTTGACCGGGCCTTCCGGAATCCAAATTGATTTGGTGATGGGGCCTCCGGCGTTAGCAATAGCAGTCTCCAGTTTAGAGCAGATCAATTTCTCAAACGCCTTTCCCATGGTGTCTAAGAGGCAGATCGGTCTGTATGAAGATGGCTCGTCTGGTGGTTTGCCAGCCTTGGGTAGCAATACCAGGTTCTGGGTCTTCCATTTTGGAGGGAACGTCTCTTGCATTCGTCGGAGAATTCGGCGAACGTACTAGGGGGCGAGGGCTAGCTTTAACGCACGATTTGGGATCCCGTCCGGCCCTGGAGCTGTGTTAGATCTAAGACCTCTGAGAGCTACTAATATTTCTTCCTCTGTAACTAAAACAATTTTAGTGCTCGTTGAGCCCTGATTAGCAGACTCAGACTCCGGGGCATGAGCTTAATCTTTCTGGAAAGAGCGTTTCCACAATCGATTTAAGCTCCAGACGATCCGTCGGCTGCACCTGTTTACCTGCGTATAGTCTTTTAACTACTGTCTTATATGCCCTGCCCTATATATTTGGCTGAGTCGCACAACTCTAGAAAGCATTCTCTTTTGCTTGGCCATCTTCAACTGTCTTCTAGCTGCCTGGCAAGCTAATTGTTTTTCGAAAAACGTAGACCTACCCCGAGCCCGTTGATAACTTCTTCTCGCCTGGATGCATTTGCGTCGAATGTCACCTATTTGTGCATTCCACCAATACGTAGGTTCTTGTCGCGTGAACTGCTTGCGGCGTAACATGCTGCTATTGCAGGCACTCTGTATTTGGGCCACCATTTGGCATGCTCTGGCCTCAGCATTACCAATTGTGCCCAGAGACTCAAAGTATCCAGCCGATACGATTCCCTCCACAAGGTTGACGCCCTGGCAGGTGGCTCACCTATTGTGAACAGAAGTGCCGTATGATCGCTGCCCGTATAGCTATCGAATTGGCTCCATGT